GCGGCAATGATGATAACGGCGATGCTGATTAGGTTTCGATTGTTCGGCTGCTGCTGGTGCTTTTGATGTTGGTAATTGTGATGGTGGCGGTGACGATGATGATAGTTATGACTGAGGACGGTCACGGTGATGCTGTCCATGGTGGCGTTGATTTTAATCGTCGTGCTGATGATGGTGATGGGTCTGGGTTTTGGTGCCCCTGATGATGATGATGATGCTGGCGGTGAGAATATACATGGTGGTCCCGATGATAGTGATGCTGACGATGGCGCCGACGATGTCGACCACGATTTTGGTGATCTGACGGTTACGATGATGATTGTGGTTATGAGCATGGCGCCGACGGTACTGATGATGATCTTGATGGAAAGAAGATGGCGCTGATGAGGTTGAGAGCGATGCCGATGCTAATGATGCTGCTGATGACGATGATGATGATGATGATGATGATGATGGTTTTCGACTTACATACAGACACCCAGACAGACAAACACACATAGCGAGGTATGTATGTATGTATGTATGTATGTATGCATGCATGTATGTATGTATGCATGCATGCATGCATGCATGCATGCATGCATGCATGCATATGTGTATGTATGTATGTATGTATGTATGTATGTATGTATGTATGTATGTGTGTATGTGTGTATGTATGTATGTATGTATGTATGTATACATGTATGTATCAGATACACACGCAACCACATATACATACACACGTGCCTAATACATCGACGTAATCTCGTGGTAGGACAAGTCGAAGGGAAAGAATCATCATAGTGCGGGAAGCGCTTGTCCTGAGTTGCGAGCTCTGTGCTGGTCATGGTCTAAAGGTTTCTGGGTGGCCCCGACAACTTTGAGCAGGGAGGGCAAGTCGTAACCCCAGGTCGCCTCAGGCTTCTGATGGCTGTGAACCATCGTCCTGAATATAGGCGCGGTTTTGCTGCCACTGAGCAGTTCGGCACGTTCGTGACACGGATCTTTAAGAGGCTCCGCGGACTCGCCGGCAAACATCCGCCGATCTTAATTTAACACGGTTGGCAAGGCGTTTCCATTTCCGCCAGTCGGCGGCTATGACTTCTGTCCATGCGGCTGCTCCTCCTGTCGAGCTTGGCTCCCCTGGAGCATCTAGGTCGCGCTGGGCCGTTAGCGTCGCGAGCCCGGCAATCGCTTGCTTGGACGTCAGCGAGAATTCGTTCAGACAGACCACCTGGGGTGTGTGTGTGCGCCGAGTGAGGCAAGAGGAGGGCCTGCAGCGAAGGGAAGGGCTGGCAGATCGCTCAGGCGGGATTCCCACGGGATCGGCAACCGCCCTCATGGGCTATCCTGCGCACGGCGCGCAGACATGACGTGTGTAGCCACTGTATGTGAGTGCGAGACGGCGTTCGCAGCTCAGAATGGTAGAACAGTGCTGAGAAAACGAGGGCTAGGAAAACTCGCAGCTTGAGCTGCGCGCGCATGTGTGGCACCGCGAAGTCCGTTCGCACCAGGCTCTGCTACACCGCGGATATTTCCCGCAGGCGCCCATGTATGTCCAAGGCAGTTGTACTCGCTTGCAACGAGACGCTCGATACCAGGGACCCCAGGCATGGCGAAGGCAGGGCGCTCGCCGATCATCGCCTCTGCCTTGGCGGCCCAGGCGTCCTCGCCCCTCTATATGATGAGGGCCTCTGTCTTGCCAGGCTTCGATTCAACTGCATGCCGTGCCTCTCCATGGTGGTGTGCGCCGCCTCGGCGACCAAGGTGACGTTGCGGTCGAGGCTCGCGATGTCTTCGCCCACAATCAGTGTGGCCTTATCGTCGACATACGTGACCTCCCCAACTGGCACGGTGTTCGTGGGGAAGGCGCTGGGCTGGTGGGCCTATTTCGGGCCGCTGGGCTCGCAATCTGCGGCGAATGTGAGGTCGAGTTCGTCAAGTATTGCTCGAAGCTCTCCCAGGGCAAGAAGATATGCTGTTTTTGATGATGATGCCGATGATGACCATGATGATGATGATGATGATGATGATGATGATGATGATGATGATGGTGATGATGATGATGATGCTGATGACGATGATGACGGTGATGATGATGAAGATTCCGATGCCGATGACGATGTTGCTGAGGATGAGGACGATAATGATGATGATGCTAATGATGATGATGTCTCTGGTGATGGTACTGATGATGCTGATGATGCTGATGATGATGATGATGATGATGAATATCATGATCAGGACGACGACAACGACGAACACGACGAAGATAATGATCATGATGATGCTGATACTGATCACGACGATGATGATGACAACGATTCTGATGATGGTGACTATGTGATTCTGATCATGATGAGGATCGTGTTGATGATCTTGATGATGTCGACGACGATGGTGATGATGATAACGATGATGTTGACAATGATTATGATGATGCTGATGATGATGATGATGCTGATGGTTATGATGATGACGAAGATGATGATGCGGATGATGATGATGACGATGATGCTGATGATGATGCTGATGATGATGACGATGATGTGCTGATGACTCTCATGATGATGCTGCTGCTGATGATGTTGAGGATCATGCTGTCGATGACGATGCTGCTCATGATGGTGATGATGATGGTGATGATGGCGATGGTGGTGGTGATGATGATGCTTATGATGATGCTGATGATGATGACGATGATGGTGATGATGCTGATGATGCTGATGATGATGGTGATGATGCTGGTGCTGATTATGATGATGATGCTGCTGCTGTTGATGATGATGATGATGATGATGATGATGATGATGATGATGATGATGATGATGATGACGAATTCAGATGGTGTTTCAGATCGTGGTCACTAATTAGAAGGTTGTGAAGCTGTGTTGGGGAGCTTAACCACGGCAGTACAGAAACGGGAGAGGTGTAGATGTAGCCACAAGGGAGTCGCAGGAGTAGACGGGTCAGTAAGGAATGCTTCTGGGTGCTGGCAGCATGCTGTGTGGAACGAGGGGTGGATGTAGGGTGTGTGTGTGTGTGTGTGTGTGTCGATGTGGGGATGTGAAAGAATGGGAGCGACCGAGGGCCATGGGAATGATTCGTGCATCCCGTGGTACGTGTGTCTCGGAGGATCTGAACTACGGCAGTACCGAAATGTGAGTGGTACGGCCGTAGCCACAGGGGGGTCGTAGGAGTAGGCCGGTCAGTAAGGATATGCTTGTGGGTGTTCGAACACGGGTGGCATGCTGGGTGGAAAGAAGGGTGGATGTAGGGATGGGTAGATGTGGGGAGGTGAGGGAACGGGAGCAACCAGGGGCCCTGGGAATAATTCGTGCATGCCCTCGCATGTGTGGCTCGGATAGGGACCGGTTCTTGATTGTCTTTCTCCTTGATTCGGGTCTCCTCCTCCTCCTCCTCCTCCTCCTCTTTCTCCTTTCCCTCATTCTCCATCATCATTGTGCCGCCAGCGCGAGCTCCCAACACCTTGAGGCTTGGCTATGCAGCGAAGCCCGACTTGCCCAGGCGCAGAGTGATAGCAGGCCGTCGCAATTGTCTCCATAGCCACCAAGGAAGGCGCTTGACCTTTGTCAGGTCTCCAGACCTCCAGGCTTCTCTTCCCCACGCAGAGCCGTACAGTCGGGGCCCTGAAGAAGGAACCCTTTTCGTTGGGGAGGGGCTCCGCGTTCCTTAAGTGTTTCGCAGCTTGCCTCAGGTTTTCCTTAGAATTTTCGATGGGAAATCGAAGTTTAACTTGTGGAAGAAAGGGGCCTCGTTCCTTATTTAGGGTTCCTTAGGTCAACGCCCCGACTGCAGGTGCGGACTTTTTGCCCGCCATGCTACTTGACACTCGTTTCCGCGGAGACCCAGGCCAGTCGCAAGGCACGGTGCAGTCCCTATCCCGTCACTCGGGAGGCCAGCGTGCCGCCCGCGCGCTGTCCTGTCCCGTGCCGCGCTGTGTCGTGCCGTGCCCGTGCGCCCGTGCCCGTGCCCGTGCCCGTGCGCGTGCCGTGCCCGAGCCCGTGGCTGTGCTCTGCGCGAGCCGCGGCCGCGTCCGTGCGACGTGGTGCCCGTGCGGCGTGCCATGCCTGTGCTGTGCCGTGCCGTGCCCGTGCAGTTTCTGTATGGTTCCAAGTGAAGTCTCTTCGACGCCTTCCGTCCTGTCTCGGCGCGGGAGGCCCGTTTTGGTTCTCGGCTCGAGCCTCCGGCGCGAAAGATTACATCTTTCGGCTTCCACCAGGATGCTCGGTGCTGCAGAGCACGGGCACGGCGCGGCCGCCGGGGCCGAGGCGGGCACGCCCGGCGGTGTGCCCGCTGCTGCACAGCATGAGCATGGGCTCTTGGATTTACCCCCGAGCGTGCCTCTGTCGCCCCCCCCTCCGTCAGATGCACTTCTCCGCGCGCACAGGCGGAACGGAGGCTATGGGAGGATCTTCGCTGTGGTCTCTCCCAGCGCTTGGCATCACAATCGCCGAGCTTGGTTACTGAGGATGTGGGTCTCAGGGAGGCGCCCACTGAAGATCCAGGCATTCGCGGGGGAGGGGATACATTCGAACTGGAGGGCATCAACAGGACCACCGTGCACAAATTACGTCCTCAGGAGGTTGCAACTCTGCGAGGTTGAATTCAGACTTGACGTTGGTAATTCCTTGGATTAGATCCAGCCAAATCTGGCGCAGTCCGGGGATGATCCCGTCTAGTCCAGCCGAATCCTGTTTATTCTGCCTGGCTCAACAACTCCTTGTCGGGTGTTGCTTGAAGTGTCCCTGGCCCAAGGTGTGCCCAGGATTTTCGCGGAGGCCCCCACAGCCTCCAGAGCCCCCCTAAAGAGGCCCAGAGGGCCCTTGGGGCGAAAAGCTGAGGGCACCTTGGGTCAGGGACACCTTGACCAACCAAGGACCGGACCTTAATGGAGCTTATTGGACCGCAATGTCTTCTCCACAAGGACCTCCCAGGAATTGCCCTGCTGCTGCTCTCTATCCGTGCTCCCACCGCGTGCTTGCGGCGGATCGGAGGTGCCTGGCCCTAGTCATCGTGACTTCGGCCGTGCCCAGGACGGACCGCCGCTGCCCTCCTGAGGGGTCATGGGCGGAGGAGGAGGAGGAGGAGGAGGAGGAGGAGGAGGAGGAGGAGGAGGAGGAGGAGGAGGAGGAGGAGGAGGAGCAGGAGCAGGAGGAGGAGGAGGAGGAGGAGGAGGAGGAGGAGGAGGAGGAGAGGAGGAGCAGGAGGAGCAGGAGGAGGAGGAGGAGGAGGAGGAGGAGGAGGAGGAGGAGGAGGAGGAGGAGAAGGAGGAGGAGGAGGAGGAGGAGGAGGAGGAGGATGGGGAAGAGGAGGAGGAGGAGGAGGAGGAGGAGGAGGAGGAGGAGGAGGAGGGGAGGAGGAGGAGGAGGAGGAGGAGCAGGAGGAGGAGGAGGAGGAGGAGGAGGAGAGGAGGAGGAAGAGGAGGAGGAGGAGGAGGAGGAGGAGGAGGGAGGAGGAGGAGGAGGATGAGGAGGAAGAGGAGGAGGAGGAGGAGGATTACCCAAGGATTACCCCAATCTGACTCTGTCAGCACGCTATACTGCGGGGGACTTCAATTGGGTGGCCTCCCATCAGACAAACGCTGGAGGACCCAAGCCCCCATCTTGGTGGGCTTCTCTCCTCGAACACATCTGCATTCCTTAGCCAGGTCCCGAAGATGGCCGTTTCCCTCCCTCCCCCTGCAGCCACAACGTGTGCACACCCAATATGGGTCATAAAAGGCCATGACATGCGAATGGTGGACGACACGCGTGCCAACGGCCACAACCACAGGTGCACGTGCAGGCTCGGGGCGGGGGGGGCCAGGACACTGGGAACAAAGCCAATTCTGCAACACATTATTGCAAGATGCTTTACTGACACTGCTACGGCAATCAAGACAACTAAAACGAGTTTTAGAATCGGCAAGAGAATGGGAGCTGCCTTGCTGTGCACGGGCGAGGGCGGATGGCCTGGTCCTGCGCTCGACCCTCCGCACCTCGCGCACCGTCGGCGGGCGCTCCTCCGTCTCGAAGGCGGTCAGCGTGACCCGCGCGATGCGGAGGCGCACACGACAAAGCGTCGAGACTGCCCACTTATAGCACGAGAGGCGAGCGGGCGGGATGGCATGAGAGGCAGCGGCGGCAGCAGCGAGATGGTCGGCCACCTGATTGCCTATCCACGCCAGCATGGGCACTCCTTTAGCCAACGATTCCTCTGGCGAAATGTGGCTATTCAGAAAATGCACTGAGACTACTGACTCACCCCTCGCCTGGAGCTCGGTTCCAAGGGCTTCCCACAGATCTCCATTCACACTCCAACCTGCGGGTCTCAAGTGTCGACCCCTGTTCCAACCTCGAAATAGGATGTCACTATCTGTCCAAAACTCTACTTCACCCGAAGTGCACCTCAGCACAGAAACTAAACTCATCATTTCAGCTCTATTATTGGACTGACGGGGCCCCGCGAGCGGCGAGCTAGCGCCGCCAACAAGCTCAGGGCTCTCAGGCGGCCCGCGCAGCAAGCACCAGCCCCAGCCGCAGCGTCGGAAGCGGGCGTCAGACGCCTCCTCGCCGCCGCTGCCGTCGCCGCAGGCGAAGTGCCTGTCGCCGCTGGGCGGCATGCGCCCCTCTCCCACCGCGCCGAAGGTCGACAGCTCCTCGACCGTGTCGCACGGCGGTGGGGTCGTCCACGACCGCGGCGCTATGCCGCGAAGCCACAGCGCAGGGCTGTCTGCATGGCAGCTCTCCGCCTTCGGCTTCAGCCAGTCCGTCCTCTCGAAGTCCTCGTGAGGCGGGCGGTTCGGGCACTCGCCCCAGATGCGGTGGAAGTCATCCCCCACGGCCCCGCAGCTGCAGCGCCCATTGCCACCACGCTCTTCACCCAGTACCTCGCACTTGCGCGCCGCCGTCCACGTCCCCGCCGTCATAGCCTGCAACAGCGCGTTAGCCATGGCAGACTGGGCACGTCTCCACTTCTTGAGGGTCTGCTTGGCATTACTCAAGTCTACCCCCTGCTCCAGACCTGCAGCATTATGTCCACCTGCCGCCTTGCCCCAGAGCTTGACTGCTATATCATCTAACACCGCGTCGATCACGTCAGCTGGGTCGCGCTTCCCAGCGCCAGGAGCCATGGTCCACTCGTCGCCTCTGGGGTCCGTCCACGACGTAGGCGAATGTGGCGTCCACCCTGCCTCCCAAAGCGTCAGCGTCAGTGAGGCCATCACGCCCCGTCGCCTGCGCCAGCGGCGGCTCGAGGGAACCTTCAGCAACTGGTTGCAGATCAGCGGCCAAGCTTTCTCCGCCATCCTGCGTACATCCTCTCTGTGCGCGTACAGGTCGAACCACGACCTCAGCTGCATCTTGGGGAGCTCCAGCGCTGGGTCCTTCCCCTCCAGAGCCAGGAAGGAGGTCAGGCAGCGCCCCGCCCTCGGCTTCGCCAATCCCGCAGCATAACGGCGGCGCGCCGCCGTGACAGCCGAGGGAGGTTCGCCGTGGGCCCTGGCGCCGTACCCCAGCGAAGGCACCGCCCCCTGGTTCAGCAGCGCCGCCCGTCTCTCCCTGCGCAACTTGCGCAGCTTATTGCCCAACGCTCTCATCCTGCTGTGGGCCTTCTTGCGCCTGTCCATGTGCGTGGCACGGCGCCTCGCACCCGCGGCAGCTCTGTCGATCCCCAGGTCTCGGCCCTCCTCCGACGCCTGGAACGTGAGCCCTCGCCTCTTCAGCTTGGCCACCATTCGCCTGGTCATCGCAAGGTCCGATGAGATGATCACGCTCTTGCTTGCCAACTTGAGCCCCTCCTGCTGGAGGGACTCCCCCAAGGCTGTCATCGCCTCAGGCAGGCCCTTTTTCCACAGCCAACTTGCTACCATAAAACGAAGTACTCACATCATCAAACCACGCTCGAGGGATACCACGGAACGAAGGTGTGACAATTCTCTCCAGCGTGCGGCACACAACTGCTCTCGCCAAGTTGTTGGCGTGACGGAGGAGGAGGAGGAGGAGGAGGAGGAGGATGAGGATGAGGAGGAG